TTACACCATCTTATGCAGTGTAGAACTCATCTATTTCAATTTTTGTAAAGCCTTATTGAACATTTTTGTCTTAGAAATGCTCAGGGAAATGGAGGACACTGCCTGGCGTGACTTGGGGCGCCTTGAACAAGGTCTAGCACCTTGCCGTTCTAGACGATCCACATGTCTCCTAAATGACTCTAGAATAAGGTCATGTAGTCGTCAAGTTATCAAAAGGGAAATGGACATCCTCCACTTCCTTTCCTCCGTCTCTTGGCACTTAGATAACACCATGAATTACGAATGGCTCAGCCATGTAATTCTCAGGTCAATCAAAGTCCAGCATCAGACGCTGCTTTTTATGTGAATACGTCTGCTCCTTGTTGGATGAGCGATTACCGAAGCCTATTACTCCAGTGATGAAAAAGTTTCGCGTCTGTCTGTGTGTCTGTCTGTATGTCATCACGATAACTCGAGAATGAATTGAGCTAGCGAACTAGAATTTTTCAGGGTCGTTTTGTGTCATAAAAGGACAGGTCAAGTTCGAAGAAGAGCATTCTAGCTCAAAAATTGGATTTTTAAATAATCAAAAACCGCAGATCCCAAAATGACGTTTTTTAAAAATATTTTTTTAAATGTTTCCTAAGCGGTAACTCATCAAAGTAGACTGCTACGGGCGAAAATTTCGTCCATTTGGCTCTATCTTTAACCGTTTAGACACCAGAGGGAGTTTTCAACACGAAAATGACCGCAAAACATTTTTATGTTTTTCTCTCAGATATTTGATGGTCTCCGGTAGGTTAAATCGTTAAAATAAAACCCCGAGTACCTACACCCATCGGATAGAAAATACACCAGAGTTTCCCCTTGCCACAGGGGCAGGGTGTTGGCGTTGTTGTCCCTGGCCATGACGGAATGTCTGCAAACCCTAAAAATGAAGACACACAATCAGTCAAATCATTTACATCAGTTATGATATTCAACACAGAAGACATGGGTCCATAATGCCACTAAAATTGAACAGGTAAGAAGTTAACTCACTGAATGTTGAGTTTGGGCCTCAGCAGATGGACGAGGAGCAGATGTATTGAAATGAAAGGCAGTTTGTTCTGATACTGGCCTCTGATGCAGCTGGCGAATAGGGTGTGTGTCCTGAAACAAAAAATGCTCTGAGAAATACTTTTCATAAACAAGTGAAACGGTATCTCTCAGACAGAAAGTTGAAATCTCTTACTCGGTGAGAGGTCTCGGGTGCATAAAAACCATCAGAAGCTGCTGCAGCCATCTGTGGTGGAAGCACTGATGACACAGGGGCAGGGTATTGGCGTTGTTGACCCTGGTCATGATGGAATGTCTGCAAACCCTGAAAATGAAGACAAATAATCAGTCAAATCATTTAAATCAATCATTGGCTGAGCGACAGTGAAGCCTATTTGGCTGAGCGATAGCGAAGCCTATTACTCCAGTGATGATCAAAAAGTTTCGCGTCTGTGTGTCTGTGTGTGTGTTTGTCTGTGCGCACGATAACTCGAGAACGAATTGAGGTAGCGACCTGGGATTTTTAGGGTCGTTTTGTGTCATATAAAGAGAGATCGAGTTCGAAGATGAGCATTCTAGCTCAAAAATTGGATTTTTAAAAAATCAAAAACAACAGGTCCTAAAAATGGCGTGTTTTGAAAATATTTTGTTACAGTTTCCGAAGAGGTAACTCATCAAAGTAGAGTCCTTTAGGCGAAAATTTCGTCCGTTTGGCTCTATCTCTAACCGTTGAGGCGCCAGACACTGTTTTCCACACGGAAATGACACCAAACCATTTCAATGTTTTTTTTCAAATATTTTATGGTCTCTGAAGTGTCATTGTCTCTGTTATTACTCGAGGGTAAAGTTGATTCAAGAAAACATATCATATTGTGATAGTAGTTAATATCTACTGAATAGTTAACAATTTTTTTCTTAACAGTTCTAATTTTAGATTTTAACACTGGACA